CATTTGAGTAATTCAAATGGTTCATGGTAATGTATTGATTTCATTAACATTTTCAATGGGAAATTATCAAAACAATTCAACTTTTTTTTTTTTTTTGTATTTTATAACAGTTTAAATGTTTTGGTAAGGTTAAAAGACAATATTCTGGAATATTTCACGAGAAATTCTGAGATTGCAATTTTTCATCTTGATTTGGCACAAAATGAAATCTCAAAATTCTTATGGGATAGGAATTTTTTTTGTTTTAAACCAGCTCTAATGTTTATATCATCCTTTTCCTTAGTCAAAGAGCTTGACTTGAAAGAAATGCTTAATCAGAAAATATCATAAGTGATTTGTCCCCCAGTGGAGTAAATGTCTCAGGAGATGAATAATAGGGTATCTTGGAGCCTGTGAGCTTTAGGTCCCCATTTCAACTCCTGTCTCACTGGCATAGTGACTGCTTGACAATGACATTTGAAGGTCACCTAAGGTACAAGAAATGAACTGGAAGTGGATCATTTTAATATGCCCACATCACAAACAATTTCCCATCACAATCTTTATAATTGACATCTTTGTCATCTCAGCACTGATATCAAACAGAACACACCATTTACACTCACCTTTAGTGATGACAGTCCAGATCGGAGATTCTCTGCTTAATGCCACCTTGATCAAGAAGGGACCTTTTGCTCCTTGCCTGCCTCTCAGATGTCAGATGGCTCTTTCCCCTTTCAGAACATGCTATGTTCAATTTGCTTCAAAAATACCTTCTTAAAATGAAGAGCATTTTATTTAGAAACCAAGTTTATTCAACACAATCCTATAGATTCTGGCCCTATCCCTTTCCTTTGCATGGTTTAGGCCACCTATCTAGTCTGACTAGTAACCAGAATATTCCCACCCTCTCTAGAGTAGTTCATCCATCATGTCTCATGGGGCATTTTTAACCAGTATTTAAAAATTATTCCAGTCATGCATTTCATCTTATTCTATTGTCCTGCCAGAGACCTCAGTGTATGAGCTTAATTATTCATCCGTTGGGGGCCTTTAGCTTTTCTACTTCCATGCTACCACTCCAGTACAAGTGAGTTCCCCCGCCACATCACTAAATAGAGATCATCACAAAATGGTTCATTTCCTCTATGAAGCAGGAGTTACTGACAGATTAGGCATGATCAGTAACACACCTGATGTACAATTTTATCAAGAAATAATATGATTCTTAATAAGAATTGGATCATCAGACATTCCGTTAAAAATTATAAGCGGGAGTTTTTTCCCTCCCATAACTTTTCGGATGACTAAAAGCTCTACAGTACAGGAACAAAACAAATCATGCATCTAAAATATAGAGGAAAGGAAAAAACATAAAACACTGAAAGAAATTGACATGTGACAAGTTAGCTGTCCCCGGGGTATTGTGAGGATTCTCAAAGGAAAAAGCACCTCTCATAATTACGTAGTGAATCATAAACCACCAACTTCAGAATCGCCACAAAAATGCCTTGAAAAAGACAATTCAGAAAAGTTTTATTGAAACCAATTATTTACTTACAGGTCCTTGCTCTTTAAGCAAGTAATTGGTTTCCAAAAAGATTCTTCAGTCTATGCTTTCCAAAGACATTTTTGTGGTGAGCTTAAACTTGAAGTTATTTATTTGTACATAAAGGAACCTATTCCCCAACCTCCTCTTTAGTCTCATCAGTTGTTCTTGTAGATGGAGTGTGGAGTGTCAGAAAATCATCTCTTTGTGGAGACCACCCTCTTTTGAAGCGAATGAACTGAATGAGGTCAGATGGAGTTCAAGTATCTATCATTCATGGGTGGTTTTCAATTTCCCTTTAAGAACGGTAATAATTAGATTAGACAAGGCCCAAATGCTAGCCCTGTGGAGTGCTGAAGTCTCTCTCCCCCGCCCCCATTCTCTTTTTGACTCATCAGCATTGACTCATGGCAGTAATTAGAAGTCCTCACATCAAGACCCCTCCCCGATATTTACAAGTGGGGCTACCAAATGCAGTTCAGGGATTCACAGGGTTACCAGGCTGTGGAGAGTACAGGTCCCCGTCTGCAACGCTCGGAATGGTGGTTACAGATGGGTGCAGGCAGGGTCGAGACATAGCTGGAACAATCCTGCTGCCCAGAGCCTCTGGGACCCCAAACTCCGCAACAGAGACCCTTTCCCCTCCCCTCTTTGACAAGGTCACAAGGATTCATGTGGCACTCATCCCAGCCATGTGATTTTGGGGAAGATATAAAATCAATTAGAAAAGTCAAAATACAAGTTTGTTCAGACTTTTAGAAAGTAATCACAGATTCAGAGGAAGACCTATACATACACAGCTAAGTGTTATAAAAAACTGAAGCCCACAGAGCAACTTCAAAAACAATGTAAGCAGGAATTGCTGCTCAGAGGGATAGGGAAGGAACAAAATGCGGGCTCAGCCAGGGATACCCCTCCTCTCCGCAGCATCCCCCAAACCTGGAGCCACACAGGGAAGAGCCCCTTACTGTGGTGGCACAAGGGTCCACACCGGGCCCTCCCTCTCCACCCATCCTATTGTCTTGGGGAAAGACACTGCAAGGAGGCAGTAGTGGGAGACTTGAGCCGAGGGGAGCAGCTGCAGCAGCAGTTTAAGCAGGGGCTGTGGGACAGTAAATGTGTCACCAAGCTAGCTTCTATAGTTTTCCTGCTGACATTCTTTTCCTTAGGCTGACTGGCTCTTTGCTCCAGCCCCCTCCCCCATTCTTTCCTCAAGCTGCTTCACCTCAGCTTCAGTCTGCCAGCCCTCTAGGCTCCTGTCCTCTCTTCTCCCCTGCACTATTTCACTTATTCCCCCCAACCCCCTTTTATTCATTGTCCCTCACTCGATCTTGGTACAGTTCCTAGCACAATGGACCCGAGTTCTGTGTTGACCCTTTGGCACCACCAAATATCACCAGTAGAGCAGGTCCCAAAAATCCTGACAAAACAATCTTTAGTCAGAATTTGCCAATTCTGCAAAACTGAAACATTCCACAGAGACTGTGAGATTTCGCTGAAGGTCTGACAGAACCCTGGCTGAAGAAACCTGCCTGCTGGGCAGATGGCCCCAGGGCTGGGGACCCCGGGGCTTCGAGGTTAGCCCACCAGGCAGCTTGCCTTAAAGTCAGGACTCCATTCCCTTTTTTAGAACTAAATCAAATTTCCAAATCCTCCTCAAAATACAATCATGTTCTCGGCCCGGCTGTAGTCACCCCCATAAAAAAAGAAAGTGAATAAAACTCATGACACAACCTAGAGCAGTGGTTGATAGGGATAGCAGGGAGCATCAGGAAACCTCAGCTTCTTAGCATGTATGAAAGAGACCCACTGCAACTAACTACCAAAGGAAGCAGTGGATTCTCCATCTCCTAATGTCTTCAAATCTAAACTGCATGTCATTCTGGAATATGTGCTTTAGCCAAACACAAACTGTTTGGCTCAATACACAGTAAATGGGTGAAGTTTAATGACCTGTGATATACAGGAGAATAGATTAGATGACCAAATGGTCGCTTCTGTTCTGAAAAAAACACACCCGTGAGACACACCATACCTCAAAGTAGCACCCTGCCAACTCCCATATTCATCATTTGCATATGGTTATGCTATTTCATACAAAGAATGCCTGGTAAGGTATCATACAAAAGGTCATGATCTGCTGAAACTCATTGTTCTGTCAAAATATGTATATAGTATGAAGTTATGAGATTTTGCTAGATGGTTGTTATTGAAATATGTTATGAGTCTGGGAGACGCCCACAGCTGGCTCTCCAGTGGCAACAAAGGAGGTGACCCCACCCAGTCAGGCATCAAACGATCATCACCAACCATTGACCAGAAGGGAATTGTAAACAAGAGATTTACAGGTTTCAGAGTAACAGTCATGTTAGTCTGTATTCGCAAAAAGAAAAGGAGGACTTGTGGCACCATCGGATGCACCCGATGAAGTGGGCTGTAGCTCACGAAAGCTCATGCTCAAATAAATGGGTTAGTCTCTGAGGTGCCACAAGAGATTTACAATTCAGTAAGAGACAGCTGCACAAGCACCACACAATGGGCTTCCTCAACTCTGTGACTCAGCAAGGCCCACCAGGACATGGCAGGGCCAGTATTTTTCCAGAGATATGAACTGAGAATATAAAATAAGGGACAGTAGCACCATGAGATCACCTCTCTCCTCCGCCTTGTATCCTGAGGGCAACAAGAACACTAGGAAGACAGACTTGAAAAGGGGAGATTGGTCCCCAGCTCAGAAGGGAATTCAGCCTGCATATTAAGAACTATAACCTGCCGGCTACATCTAGTGGGGTGAGAAAATCTGTTTGATTCAAATTAACTCAGTCTGATACCGTTTAGGATTTAGAAAGTGTGTTTACTTTTTATTTTCCTAGGTAACTATCACTTATAATCACTTAAATTCTCTCTTTTGTAGTTAATAAACTTATTTTAATATTTTATCCTTACCAGTGAGTTTGTCTAAAGTGCTTGGGGAATCTGCACAGATTACAAAGACTGGTGCATGTCCACTATCCTTTGATGAAGTGGGGAATGAATGAGCTTGCAAGAGAAAGTCTTGAGCAGTGTAAGATGGTGCATTTCTGGGGTGCAAGACTGGGGGGATTTGCTGGTGTTTCCCTGGGTATGGTTCACAAATGGCTTAGACCGCATTTATGCAATTTAGCTGGGTGTGTCCTTGCATGTTGTTGTTGTTGACTGAGTGACCACAGCATCTGGAGAGGTTACCTACTTTTCATTAGCAAAGCATCATGAGAGACAGCCTAGGCTGGAGAGTTAAAGGGGCTCAGCAGTTTCACAGTTCCAGATTGTACCCCAGGGATCCAATCACCCCCACCCCACAATGAATAAGCAGACCTAAGCACAAGTTCACTTGATGGGGGTTGGGTGCTGCGATCAAAATCTTAAAATATTCTGGCAAATTTTTCAGGTTTTTTTTTTTTTTTAAACTCTAATTTTAAATTTTCTCCTTCAGCGGTCTGAATTCCAAACATGGCTGTTTCGTGCTACAGTCTGAATGGGAAACTGACTTGTATAATTCCTCTTTCCCAGGTGAGTGAGATGTAAAACAAACAAAAAAGCATAACTGGTTAGAAGTAGAACAGAAAGTCGTATCTAAATAATCTCTGGTGTTAGTAAGCATTATGAGCAAACATCTTCAAAACAGGCCTCTGAATTTCAATGTTATATTAAATTTTCCAGTCTGGGCCAAAGATTCTTCAAACCTCCAAAGCTTTCTCTTGGTTTTCTGGTATAGTCCTATACATATTAAGAAATAGAGAGTTGTTCCTGTACTTATAATATAATAACTGGTGTCATCAAAACAAGACACGTTGGAGTGGTTTCCACAATTACTTGTGATTGATTTATCACTTGGTTTAAATTTATTTTTTTTTCAGCTTCCTTGCTCACTAATTGATTTTTTTTATTGTTCAAACTTCGATTTCATTTTATAAAACAGATTAGAATGGTCATTGCTTCATGCTGTTTAATCATTCTGCTGTGTAATTACGGCTGCTGTTGTTTTATATCTGTTCTTTATTAGCGGTACTTGTTGCTATGTATTTTAGACATTTAATAATCTTCTAAAATGGTCATTTGGTAATTACTCAATATCAGTTTAGTAAAATTTTGAGACTTCTGCCCAGGTTGGCTGCTCTAATACTTGTTAATCTCTGTCTGGTTGATCTCCTTTTTGTTTGACTGTTGATATGTTCTGTGTATGAGAGCCCAGTCATTATTTACAACCAACAATTTTTGTGTCATCCACAATTTTATCAACAGTGACTTTATGTGTTTATATTTAGATAATTGTGTTATCATTTTAACAACTACAAAGCTCAAGGACCAACATACTTGTTTTCTGTTTGTTTTTTCCATTGAGTAGATAGTTTATTTTAGCATGGTAACCTTACACCAATATCGAATGGCAGCATTGGTCTTAATTTCCAAACTTAACCAAAAGCTTGGAATTTAGATCTTCACATAAATCCAACAGAGGATTCCAACCTTGTTTACCTACAGAGCACATGTAGCATGAGCAGCACAAGCTTCCCCCACAACAGCTCACTAATGAACATCAACGCTGATCAAAAGAGGACACCACATAGCGGGAGAGGGTAGCTCAAACTCCAGCCCTTTAATTACATGTCTCTTCTGCTGTGACTGGCAACCAATTTTAATAGTGCTTGTGAGCTTGCTGCACATCATATGGGTGACCTAGCAGCAGTAGTGACTTAAAGATGTAACCAGAGGATGACTATGGGTGGATTTAAACTGCAGAAGAAGTGGTAAAAAGCTGAATACGCCATTGGCAAGACCCTGGACCATGTAGGCCTCTGGTAGATCAATAACTTTGCTGTACGCTGGGAGTGAAATAATTTACATTTATTATTTTTCTTTGTAGTTATTTATCAGTATAAACCTTCATGGATTATTTTACACAGTAGGAAAGTATTTTACATACATCTGGTCAATTTTACACAAATATTTTAAACTGTCTTTTAAAGGTCCATTTTCTAAATAAAATACTAGATGGTGGAAGGCACAGTAATGCTAGTCAGTAGAAACCTTAGCCATGCTGGAGCTGCTCTGCTTCTCCACACAATAAGCACCGATTATGAGCACCACAGCATGGTCCATGTCTAATTGCTTGAATCCAAAATGCAGACTGAGATGAAGATTGATTTTTTTTAATGTGCTGCAACCTAAAAATTAATATCAGCCACTCAAATGTTTATTTATCACTACTGATGTCTTTGCGGTGGAAACTCTCTCTTCAGAAGCACCTGGGAATAAGTGAAAGGTAGAAAGGATCAGTTCCTGATTGCATCTAGAGAAAGTCACCATTACAGCTACAGGGTCACATGGGAAAGCAGTCAGTGCAACATCTTGAGCACAGTCTGTCTTGATCCTCATTAACATTTTCACGCTCAAAAGCTCAAGATGGAACTGAAGGAAATTCAGCTCTTTCCAGTCCATGCCCTAAAACATTTAATGACCAACTCCAACAGTAAGAACAATTCATATGAGAGACTAATAAGGGGATAATCAGGCCAGTGAATAGACAGAAAGTGAAATATGAGAAACAGTCCCAGACAGATAAGGTTTAGACTTGTAATTTGGCTGAACACTTCACATCTAGAAAAATATACAGTCTCCAGATGCAATTAAAGCATCCTACACACACCTGGCAACTGAACTGATTGAAGATTTGAAAGAAACAAAATTAAATTCTTCCTAAATACCAGGCTGTAATGAGGCGGGGGGAGAGAAATAGTCAGTTGCAACAATACTTAATTGCTCTGTCAATTCTTACAGGCATCTTGGATAACATTGACTTTGCTAAAGATGTCACAGTCAGATTAAGTTCTTCAGTGTAGGGACTATGGGTAAAATTTTAATAAGCGCCCAAATGACTTATCTGTAGAGCTAAGCAAAACATTTTCAGCAAATAGTTTATTCAAACTCCAAAGCATCTTGAGTAGTTTGTCCTGCTGTCTTATTGCTATTTCACAGCCACTTGCCTGACTATTAAACCAAGTGGGAGCTCCCTCATATCCCATTAAAACTGCATTAAGCAGAGCAGTTCAATATTTCAGTGATTTATATTTTCCAATATGTTAAACAGTGTTAAATTTCAGCCTTTCTGCATAAATGTCTAACTCCACTGGACTTCAAATTGCACTTGCTTGTTTTAGAGCAAAATTTGGGTCATAAAGTTCAATTTGGAGACAGTTTACAGTCGGCTGTATTAGGCTGGGCTGCCATTTGAGTCAATGGCAGCTTGGCCTGAGTGAGGAACTCATAACCAGGTACAGTGTGTCCAGGTAAGCCCTAGAGCTTTCAGGATGCACTGCTGTTCCATAATTTTATTTAGGCTGCATTATATACAGATAGCGTGCAAGATAACAAAATAGTATTGAATAGACTTTCACAGTGTGAACCTCTTGCCACTGATTCAACTGTAGTCAAAGACAGTACAATCTTCTGGTTAAAGCACTGGATGGGGACTCAGGAGACCAGCATTCAGTTCCTGGTTCTGCCTCAAACTTTCTATGGGACCTTGGACAAGTCACTTCATTTATCAGTACCACAGTGACATCCTCATCTTGGATAATAATTTTTTTCAACATTTCTTCCTGTCATCCCTACTAGACTAAGGTTCTCAGGGCAGGAACTCAATACATATGCATGTGGTGCAGACAAAGTGTACTGTTCATACAATATACACTTTATACTATGGGCCCTTCTCACCCCTTGAGAAGCTACTATGATAGTAATTATTAAGTGGCAAAACTATCCCTGAAAGCAATGGGAGCTGGTTCAGGCCATCATTCCCAATAACTTGTCAAAATATCAATGCAGCAGTGCAGCCTATTTGTTCCTTTACAGTAACATTTTGAAACTAACTTATTAGCATTTGCAGTTCAGTATGTTCTCTCTGTTACACATTTACATCTCAGTAATTGAGTTTGCCTGACAACCTGCAATTTCACAAATCTTTTATAATTATGGTCATTAAACTTTGCCTTTTTTTTAAAAAAAACACAACACAACTTGTTATCAGGATAGACTATGGACTGTTGATTTGATATTAGTGTATTCATTTCTCCACCAAGCTTTTCCCTCTCCTTTTTTGCATGCATTCAGTGAAGACAGTTGTAACTTTACAGTGAAAAAAATATATGTCTTCTTAGAGTTGAACTTAGCTCTGGTGTAAACAGACAACTTCAATGGGATTTGCTAAATATGACAGTGCTGTGATAATGGGATCAAGCAACATGGCTTATCTAAAAGGAGAGACGACATCTAATCTACAAAACATTGTCCTAGAACTCAAGAAAAATCATCTGGTCAAATTCATGCAAATAAGAACCCAAGGCACACTGGGAAATTAGTTTTGAAAACTAGATGTTTGATCATCATTTCCAAGACACTTTTCAAGGTGACTTTGTACTGTTTAAGTTTGTTGAGCTTAACATGGTACTAGAAAACTCTATGAAGAAATGCTACATACAGCTTGGATAGCTTCCCATAGAGTCAGGAAGTAGAAGACTCATTAACTTTTTAGTATGGGCTTATCTCTACTTCATTTTATTCTATTTCCTTTGTTCATTCTCTTTGTTACTTTTTGCTCCTAGGTAGAGCTGTAACAGGTATCATGAGTTTACTGTGTAATAGACCATGATCTCTCTCACCTTTAACTATATATTTTAGATAATCCAGGATTTGGTATTTGCCTGCTTACCTGAGACCATCTCTGCTAGTCCTTGCCACCAGGAGAGAGCAGAAAACTTGGTTCCATACCCTGCACCTCACCTCTTCGTTTGACTTCCAACTTTATCACTCCCCACTGCCTGTGCAAGCCAAGAGCCTCAGCTCCAGGCTGGAGAAGACCGTACTGGCCAGGCCATCACCTGATCATGAAAAGGGAAACATCTCTTCCTTTTCTGGTCTTCTGTTTCCTCTGTGTTTCTCTTTGGTTAGAAAAATTCCAAAGCTTCCAAGCACTACAGTAAAAATGAATAAATACCAACCATCAAGCAACAATTGTAAATAGTTTAACTTTTCTATTGCATCATTAAAGGGTTAAGAATGAACAGATTTTTTTTGTTACTTGCTGTTTTCCTCTGCATGTAAATAAAACCATCTGCATAATATATTTATTGATTAAGGAGTAGAAAGCCTTAGGCCATGAAAAAGAAGCCTGGGGTTGTACTAGTTATGAGGTGCAAAAAGTAACCATGCCTAATCAAATTAAGCTATGATAGTCCTTTGTGGAAAAGTACAACCTCATCACCTCACTAGTAGCACGGAGAAGCATAGATGTTTTCAAAAGCATGTATATCATTGTTTATTTTCAGTGGCACTCAAAAAGGCAGGTTGATCTGCCTTGAATCACAGTTCATACTTGGATAAACCATTCTGCAAAAAGCTAAATATCCTCCAACTCTGAAGAAGGGAACCTAATGCAAGTAGCAACTGTGTACTCTCTTCTCCCAGTATGTCTTTCTAATTATGAACCGAGTCCTGGAATAACTTGAGAAACTCCTATTCTGAAAGCAAATGAATACAGTAGGAACGGAGCCTCAGCTAGTGTGCTTTTTTTGATCATTTAATGCCAAAGGAACACGAGAGGTTGTTTCTGTTGTTCCTCATGTGCTACTTCAGTCATTTTTAGTCTCTTAAAGTAACAGAAAAAGAAGTTTATTTCCCAGGAAGTTAAATCTGTGATTATGTGTAATTATCTGAACGGACCATTTTGTTGTCCTCCATTTCTCTAGTAGTTAAGAGATTGAAAGCTGTTTGGGCATAACTTTGCAATTAATTCTTTGTTTTAGTATGTCAGCAGCTGAAGATCAACTCTGGCTAAAGGAGCACAGCAGTGTAGTTTCAAGTCCACCTGCTGACAAGACTGAGCATAATCTCTATGAATACAAGTGGTAGTGAGACATCTTGTAGGCAGAGTTATCTACAGATGCTGAGTTATCACTAGGATTCCATGATGATGTTCTCATGAAGCCATGACCCATAGTGACTTTATATACACACACACACTACATGGATCTTTATACCCTGACCTAACCTCCCCTTATCTTTAATTCCCAGCGACACCATGCCACTTATTCTTATCCAGATCTTCCTCTAAACAATTGCTCCTTTATTTCACCACCACTACCAAGATTGCAGGAAGGACAGGGTTAGGGTGACCAGACAGCAAGTGTAAAAAATCAGGACGGGGTAATAGGAGCCTATATAAGAAAAAGCCCCCAAAATCAGGACTGGCCACCCTAACAGTGGTTCTCTTCTCTTCCTGAGTCTGTTCTTCCCCTACTGCTGCTGCTTCTTTGTTGTGGCCTGTAGGCCACAACTCCTGCAACTGGAGGAAGGAGGTTTTGCCGTCTTGTTAGAGCAAGTGGATTTCATACTAAACGGAAGCAGCATTGCAATGGTGAGAGCTCTTGCAGTGAGTTTATACTACTGCTAGCAGCAGGTGGTCAGCTCTAGGGGGACCCTGCGATTTTCCTCAGCAGCACATGTATTTATTAATTAAAGCCAATTTTCAAAGTGTCCCCTCAGTGCTCTGTCAGACTGTTCATTGCAGGCCTGCTGTTACCACTTGGGAGCCCCATGTAATTAACCATCATAAATGGAACACAGAATTAGGATTAATCTAATTTTACTCTGCTTTCATTTATACATTGTGTGTTACGGTGCCCCTGCTGCCCCCGATGGGAGAGCCAGTCACTGATTACGGCACTGTGCACTCAGACTTTATGTTCATGGTGGCCCTGAGGGCTCAGTTTGTAAAGGGAATCCATAAAACACAGCACGCATGAGACACAGCCTTTCCACCTTTAGCCAAGCAATTGGTTTCTGTGCATGGCTGTGTTTCCAGCAGCACTGAAGAAGGAAGACCCAGCACAACTGTGAAGCCAGAGCTTTTTCTTGGTGAAGATGCACAGTGTCCCACAAATAGCAGACAGCTGCCTTAATGTGTCACGACAAGTAAGCTATGATACAGCTCAACACTTACCATGCATACACATCTCTACCACTTGTGAGTAGTCCTGGGACACACCACTGGAGACATGCTCCCTCATTGGAGATCCAGGATACCATGGAAAGAGATTGCTGCTGTTCCCCTGACAATTTAAGAAGCAGCAAACTTCCCGTTGAGATGAAGCCACAATGTGACCTTCTCCCCCTCCTTACCTGACAGCTAGCAGCCTCTGCTTGTACTTTTCACTAGAGTTAACAGATTGAGAGCCACTGAAGGGTTTCCAAAAAAGATCTGGAACACAGTATTCATCCCTAATATCTCAATTTAGGGAATACATTCAGCCATTACACATTTCCCTGCTGTACCTCTTATGCTGTGGGAGCTCCAGTCAGAATACCTTCAGCTGTGTGCCAGTCGTGCACTAAGGGGCCCTGGAGGTATGTACAGTGTATGAAAATTCCCTAAGGTCATATCCATAGGGTCACATATAATGCCATTTAAAGGGACACACATTGAATTGGGCAGTAGATGCATTGAACTCCCACGTAATGGACAGTCCTACCTAACCAAATGGCTGAGCAAGTGGTTACTCTTCCTTAAGAGAATTTTGAGCCCTGACCAAGCCAACTTTCACCAAGGTCGTAGCACATGCAACCAACCACACTGGCCTGCTCGTGAAGGTAGCATGGGTCTTGCTACCTTGGCTCACAGGTGTCGTTGAACTGTTCCTCCATGATAGGCAGTTCAGAGTCCATATGGGGGAGAAGACGAGTGCTTGGAGATGACAGAGCAATGGGTTACCCCAGGGCTCTGTGCTTTCTCCAACCCTATTCAACCTTTACATCAGTGACCTGCCAACAACAGAGTCACGAAAGTTCATTTATGTAGATGACATCTGTTGCAGTACCCAGGCCTGGACGTTTCACGAGCTTGATGCCACTGTAAGTCAGGACATGGTAAAGTTAGCTGACTACTGTAAGACTGGCACCTCCAGCCAAGCATCATAAAAACAGTCTCCAGTTAGTTCCATCTTCATCACCCCAGCGAGAACTGAGTGTTTATCGGAATGGTCAGACGGTAAAGCACGAAGTAGAACCAGTCTATCTAGGTGTGACCTTAAACCTCACACTGAATTACCATGCCCACCTGAAAAAGACAGCAGCTAAAGCTAAGACATGCAACAATCTTCTTAGCAAACTGGCAGGATCATCATGGGTGCTTATGCTCCAACTTTGCGGACGTCAGCTCTTGCCATCTCATATTTGATGGCGAAGTACTGCACACCAGTTTGGAGTTGATCATCATACACCAAACTGGTGGACATGCAGTTACATGCCACCTTACGTATCATCTCCGGTGTCCTGCGTCCGACTCCACTCCCATGGCTTACAGTTCTGAGCAATATTGCTTCTCCTCCTATCAGATGAGAGGTTGCCACTGGCAAGTTACTGGAAAAAGTACGCTCCAACCCAAGCCTGCCGCTGCATGACCACCTTTTAAAACTACCAGCTGCACGTTTGTTGTCACGTTGCCCATTACGGTCTCATCCTCCATGCCAGGATGTTAGGGTGGAAACACTGTGGCGAGAGGAAAGGATATCTGTTATAATCCCCAACCAGTCCCTCATCGCCAACCCCATGATTCGCCCGCCTGGTTTTGACCTGCCCCATCGCCAATGGTCCCTACTGAACAGGTTCCGGACTGGGTGAGGTCTCTGGGCAGCCAACCAGCATCGCTGGGGCCTTCGTGAGAGCCCGTTGTGCAGCTGTGGAGCACTGCAGACGATGATGCACATAGCTGACGAATGCCTGTTGCCTAGGTTTAGCGGTGGCCTAGAAGAAGTGCATCATGCCACTGAAGATGCAGTCAATTGGGTAGGCAACTATGCACATGCTAAATAAAAATAAAATAAAATAAAGAGAATTGCCAAGATAAACTGAAGAGGTACCCATCCTGCTGGCCAAACATACAGGTGCTAGTGGCTTTAGCTTGATTATGATCATAATCACATGAGTTAATTCCTGACAGTTTGTCACCTGTGGCCTTTCAGAACAAATCTACTCATCAACATGTTTAACTTGCTGACCATCTCCGATAAGAAGAATGCTGGAAAAAAAATCCCCAGGAACTTCTAGACATTGCAAGCCCATTTTTCCTTCAAGCTAAACTCTTGGGGATTTGGAAGGTTTTAGAGGAAGTTCCAGAATTTTGAACTTATCAATGACTATCAAAAAGGGCAAGAGGAGGGGGAAAAATGATGTCGTGACAAAATGGGACCATCATTGGATCTTCTTCTCCTAGCAATTTAGATTTCACTCAGCTGGACTTAAAGAACTGTTTCCTTTGCAGAGACTGCTCCTAGCCTCTCAGGAATTGCTACATTTTGTCTGCTAGTATTTGACATCAGAAAATGTATCCTCAAATTTGTGACCTTTGAATATTTCTTTTCCATACAACTGACTGTTTACCCATTCCAGCTCCTCAGTAACCTTTTCAGATACAGTTGTGCTTCTTCAGATAAAACCATCAGATAAAAAACCATCTACCAGCAGACAGATTAAATTATGATATTTTAACCTGTAGAGTTATCTATACACACACCATGTAATCATGGCAAGCATAAAGTCTCTTCTGATGCACACAGCTCACCTTTAATGCTTCTCCCCACATACTACTACAAGCTGCTCTTTTTTTTTCCATTGGGAACACTGCTCTCAGATGTTTCCTATGCTACTCAGCTTCCGTAACCTTGTCCATCAGAACTGTGACCAACTACAAGTCTCCCTTCACCTGAGATAATCTTTGACCAACTAGGCCTTTATACCAAAATAGGCAATTTGTTATAGTTACTTTGTTTGGCAGAGCAGCTGCTTCTCTTTGACGCATTGGGGCCATCTTTATCCTAATTTGTGTTTAAAGTGTTGTTTAACAAATTAAGATATATCTACCAGATAAACCAATGCATGTTCTGTACTCATTTTGGGCTCACAACTCTCATTAACAGCTGAAGCTTCCCACACTGAGAAGGAG